AAGGGGTCCGGGGCCGGGAGGGGGGCAGACGAGTTTCCCTGGTGTTGGCCAGAGTGGCCACCAGGGAAACTTGGAGAGGGCTAGCCTCCCACTAGTTCGAATTAAGGGGCTACACACCCCTTAATTTGAACTAGCTAGTTCGAACTAGGCTTAATCCTCGTAAAATGAGGTTTTCCTAGTTCGAAATAAGCGCTCTGGTAGTTTGAATTAAATTCGAACTAACGGAGTGCTAGTGTAGCGCCTATGAAAGTTAGTTCAAACTAACGGATGTTAGTTCAAACTAACTTTGTAGTGTAGACATACCCTTAGAGATTAACGGGTGTATATATATATATCCATGCCTCTGTAAACTCTACTCCAATTCATCTGATGAAGTGGGTTTTACCTATGAAAGCTTATGCCCTAATAAATCTGTTAGTTTCATAGGTGCCTCATTATTTTTGCAGATACACACTTACACGGCTACCCCTCTGAACCTGTATTCCACGAAAGTGAAAAGCTGCTGGGCTCTTTGGTTGGGTCCTTCATGAAGTGCGTGTTTTATGTTTAACATGCACCTTGCTTGCCACTGATCATTAGGGGAAGCTGATGCTTTGAGATTTCCCACTGCAATCCCAAAAGAATTTGTTAGACTCTCAACATGTTATTTGGGTTTTCTGTATTGGAAGATCTTATTCCCTTGAATAAGGTGGGACTCCTGCAGGGGTGGATGGATGTGTGGTCTTTGGAGCAAGCAGGAGATAAGCTCAAAATGTTCTTGCTATGAGAAGAAAACTATAACAGCCTGTAATCTTATGGAGATGGCTGACATAAAACATCAGCTGATCTGTTAATTTTTTGAAACTTGTTTCAGTGAAAGATGAATTTTAAAATCTTATATCCTTTCTATTTAGGGGCATAAATTAGAGTAAAAGAATGCAACATATTAACTATATCTTTCTGTTCCCTTGAATGCATTTATAACACAGCCATTGCTGTAGTATTGTGACATCATATAGACAATTTGAAAGTCACAATTAACAGAACTTTATAAAAATAGATTTCCGAGAAACTTGCTAACTTCCCTTTCCCACTTTAAACATCTCTCAGAATGTGTTTTATGGATAGAAGGCACTAGGTTGCCGCCTTCTGGTTCCTTTTGTTTCCCTTGTACAGCAATTCACAGGAACCCAACTGGTCTGCCTGCTTAGGCATCACTGGATTTCTTTATTAATTCTCCTTAAAGCAGAACACAGTCAATGTTAGGTAGCAAGCTAGCTCTGCTGTGTAAGAAGATCTAACTCCTTCCTCTGGTTTCTTTCCTTCTGTTCCCCTTTCTGAACATAAAGTGAAGGGAACTGCTGTCTCTCAAGGGTAGCCGGCGTTCTCACAAGTTGAATTGCTTATTTATGTGCTGTGAAGAAGTAATTATAACTAGTTCAAATCTACACTGCTTGCTAAAGTATATTCCAGCTTCCTAATATAAATATCCTAAATCATGGGCTACAGCCTAGTTCACAAATAAAAATGTCTAAAAGAATTTCAAGACTTTTGGGCACATGCATATGTGTAGTTCTCAGCCAGAATGTGGCTCATTGTTTACATATCACAAAAGGGTGTGGTTAAACAAAAGCTCATGTGCCATTTCACCTTACAGTGAGGTCATCTTGCTATAGATTTGGGGCATCAGGATTTTAATAATAGCAGACAATATAATAAACATAGTCATGTGGGTTTGAATCTCTGAATAAGAGTTTGTATTTTATTTCAGTACAGGATCCAGGAGAAGTTGTCTAAAAACTCTTATTAAAACACATTTTCAATAATGGGAAAGAATACTTAACATTTTATTGGCTGAGCCAATTTCTTTTAATGAGAACATTCTGGCTTTTTTTGTTTGATCAAATATGACTGTCTCCTTTTACAAGAACAAGCAGCAGAAATAACATTTAAAAGTCTCCAGTTCATTACACCAATACAATGTACTCACAGGGATGAATTCACAAAAGGAATTTTAAAGCTTTGTTTTTATTTTTAGTTCCTGTCTACTTTTTTTCTTTTTAAAAAATCAATTATGATGTTAGTCACCTGTGCTGTTGAAAATAATAGATAATCCCTTTGCCCCCATCATGTATGTCAGGTCAAGCTGTCTCTCTTTGCATGTGCATGTCTCATTTTAGGTCATTCCACACAGTCACATGTATGGCATTAATCTGTTTAGTCTTGAAGGAGTGAGATTTATCCTGACCTTTCTGAACTTTCAGACTACTGAACTTGGCTAAATGAGTGGGAGAATAGGGGAAAGGTGAACATTTTCTTTTAACGTTGAGTGCCTGATGGTTGTACTGAATGAAGGTTGTAAACTGCTCTATGTCCATACATTTCCATGTGAGAGTATTTTAAGGTGATTGACACTACAGAGTAGAATCCCCATACAGTGAAGAACTGATGGGAAGAACTCTTGTTAACTGTATACCCTATGGCTGCGTCTAGACTGGCCGCTTGAATTTCCGCAAAAGCACTGACGATCTCATGTAAGATTGTCAGTGCTTTTGCGGAAATACTATGCTGCTCCCATTCGGGCAAAAGTCTTGATCCGAAAAACTTTTGCGCAAAAGGGCCAGTGTAGACAGCAGAGATTTGTTTTCCACAAAAAAGCCCCAATTGCGAAAATGGTGATCGGGGCTTTTTTGCGGAAAAGCGCGTCTAGATTGGCCACAGACGCTTTTCCGCAAAAAGTGCTTTTGCGGAAAAGCGTCCTGCCAATCTAGACGCGCTTTTCCGAAAATGCTTTTAACGGAAAATTTTTCCGTTAAAAGCATTTCCGGAAAATCATACCAGTGTAGACATAGCCCAGGTGTACTCAATCTGAAATCTTTATTTTATTGATACTTAAGCTCTTTCAAAGTAATGTTTTCTCCTACTGCTAATGTGGCTTAATATATTTCTCTGTTTTTCATTTCCTAGGTTCCAACTATGGGAGTCCCCACACAGTTCATGCCAACATGAATGCCAATGCAGCAGCAGGGCTTGCCCCGGAGCATATCCCTACTCCAGGGGCAGCTCTGTCCTGGCAGGCTGCTATCGATGCTGCCAGGCAGGCCAAATTGATGGGTAGTGCTGGCAATGCAACAATATCCACAGCTAGCTCCACGCAGAGGAAACGACAGCAGTATGGGAAACAGAAAAAACAGGGTACAACCACAGCTACACGTCCTCCCCGGGCATTGCTGTGTTTAACGCTGAAAAATCCCATCCGGAGGGCATGCATCAGCATCGTTGAATGGAAATATCCTTTTGGATGTAGTCACGTGGAAACCAGCAAGTTGATACTGTGCATTAGGCACAGTGCATGAATGTGAATAAATAAATACATTAGGCTGATGGGCACCTCTGGGAATCGAAAGTGGATGGGTTCATTCAGAGCCGTCGTGCTCAAAAGTTTTAAGTGACTGTACTAGGCTAGAATCTTGAGTGTACTCCATCATATCCGAAGGCAGCAAAAGTTTTGTACTCAGGCTTCTCCTGTTGTGTAACTTCATGTAGGTCTGTATTAAAAAACCGGTAGCAGGTCCGTGCCTGCTGGCTTGGGGCTCACTGGGCTGAGGTGACAGCATTGTTTGACTTCTGGTCTTTGTGCAGCAGCCAAAGCTCTAGGGCCCTCCCACTTCACAGGGTCGTAGAGCCCAGGTTCCACCCCAAGCCTGGAAGTCTACCTAGCTGTGAAACAAGTCTGTATTTTGAGCCCCATGAACCTGAACCAGCTAGCATGAACCAGCCCAGGATTTCTAATTGCAGTGAAGATCTACCTTTAGAGAATTTGATGGTCTGTGATTAAAAAAAATCAAGAGCTGTGTAAGTCATGATATGCTAAATAGTACCATATGCATCCTGAGACAGCAAGGGGATGGAGTAGCTGAAGAAGAGTGATACATGATAAACTAATGTCTGCGATTGGGGCAAATCCTGCTCACCTTACACCTTGAAGTAACTCCACTGAAATCACTTATGCAAATAGGCCTCGTAAAAGTGGGCAAGATTTTGCCTGTTAACTGCAACTGGCCAAGAAAGAGAGACTAGGGAATGGGTGTGTGACTAAGGCTACATCTACACTGCGAGTTTTCTTGGCAAAAAAAATGCTAATGAGGGACTTATTTGCATGAGTTGTGATCTCATTTGCATATTTTCTGCCGATCTGTTTTTGCACAAAAACAAGCAGTGTGGACGTTTTCTTATTGTGCAAAAACCCTGCTCTTGTGGGAAAAGGTTTTTTTGAGCAAAAAGAAAATGTCCACACTGCTTGTGTTTGTGCAAAAACCCCAGTGCAAAAACGGATCAGCAGAAAATATGCAAATGAGATCACAACTCCTGCAAATGAGTCCCTCATTAACATATTTTTTGCCGAGAAATCATCGTGTAGATGTAGCCTTACAGTATAAACAATCCAATAAAAGTTAGAGAATGTCTGTCTGGATCTAGTAGTATGAGCAAGGAGCGGAAGTCAGATAATCTATCACATCAGTAATGCATACTAGGAGACTTCAAGGGCCCAGTTCTCCTTCTCTTAAAATCCATAGTTTGGCCACTTAGTTTAACAGAAGTAGCAGAACCTAATTTACAATATAGCTTTATTTTGTATAGTGTCTATGAAACTGTCCCAAACCCTTTTGAAGTAAAATACAAATTAAAATACAAAGGAAAACTTTCAACACAACATAAAACTAAATAGAAATGATTAATTGTAAGTAAATTGTTAGCTAGGCAGAGCTCTTCAATAAATCCTGGGGAGGTGGAATGAGGAACTGTTCTGGGCTCAGCCTTTCTGATGAAGACAGTACAAAACTCAACAGCAAGTAGAATGATAAAAATTGACTGATAATTTTTGATAATTAATTGATGTGCTAATTTAGATGTTGCTCCCAATGAGATTGAGGACCACATGTAAATATGGAAAAGAACCTGGCACTATAAGCCCATTTAGATCTTGCTGAAAGAAAATCCTTTTCAAATGAACAATGTGTTAGAATAGCCTTGTCACGTGGGGTTCACAGACAACCTAAAGCAGCTACCAGCTTCTAGGTCTTAATTTTGGTGGTTTTTTGCTATGTGTTATTGCTTTTGACCCAACACTAATGCTTTTTTTTTTTTTAAGCATAAGACGATGGATGGATAACTCAGGGGGTGTAAACATAATATTGGTTTACTTGCTGGCACCACAGTAACCACACATTCTTAGGTAGACCGCATGAATTGATGTTTGATAAATGAATAAGATCAGTGTTGGATGAAGGGACTCAAGCTGTAAAACAGGATGGAACACTGATGCGATTTGGAGGGAATCAAGGAATGCAATCAAATCAATTTGAACATGCTAGGGCTTGATTTTTGTTTTTTTGTTTTTAAAGCAAGCAAATAGATTTTTTTTCTTTCAAAAACTGTTGATGAAAGTCTGTTTACAACCACAAAACTTTTGAACATCACCAAAGGATTATGATGAGATTTCATCTTATTCTGCATGCTGATGAGTCCTAATTACTTAGAAGGGCCGAGTTTGATGTTTTGAACAGTGAAAGCCAAAGCACACAGGATATTAAATAAATATCAGATGTCAGTAATGGCCTTTTTATTTTACAGTGTCATGACTTGCCATTTCCCACAAAAGAAAAAGTCCAAACCTACAAAGCCTTGCTTCTGAGATGCATCTGATCACATAAACATAAGGGCTCTCTTAGATATAACAACAGTTATTAAAGGGGTACTAACAAGGTTGTTAGGACTTAAATTTGGCCCGGTGAGAACCTGGAAAGTTGTGTTCTATTGTACCTTAAGGTTACTAAGCACGCACTTTTTATATATTTGCAGTAAAATCTGGCCCCTGTTGAAATTCTGTAGGAGAGCTCACAGTGATGTTCCCAGTGCCTTCAAAAGGGACAGGATTTTATCACAATCCTTGCTCTAGTGCACCATATAGACATAGTCAATTTATATTTGACTCCAAATTTAAATCTGGTAAAAATTAACCTTTTAAAAACCTAATACCAATGTAAATGTTCCACAATGAAAAAAATCTAGTGACAAGATTTTCATACAAAGTAAACATTTGTCTGCAGTGCTTGAAATCCAAACACTACTGCATTAAGATCACACAAAACTGGCTATAAGTAAAAGTTAAACAAATTTGGTCTTGATTCTTCAAAGGCTTACGCACGTATTTAACTTTAAACACGGGCTGCGTCTAGATTGGCATGATTTTCTGGAAATGCTTTTAACAGAAAAGTTTTCCGTTAAAAGCATTTTCGGAACAGAACGTCTAGATTGGCACGGACGCTTTTCCACAAAAGCACTTTTTGCGGAAAAGCGTCTGTGCCAATCTAGACTCACTTTTCCGCAAAAAAGCCCCGATCACCATTTTCGCGATCGGGGCTTTTTTGCGGAAAACAAATCTGAGCTGTCTACACTGGCCCTTTTGTGCAAAAGCTTTGCGCTAAAGGGACCTTTGCCTGAACTGGAGCAGAATAGTATTTCCACAAGAAGCACTAATTTCTTACAGTAGAAAGTCAGTGCTTTTGCGGAAATGCAAGCGGCCAGTGTAGACAGCTGGCAAGTTTTTTCGGAAAAGTGTCTGATTTTCCGGAAAAACTGGCCAGTCTAGACACAGCCAGGGAATCATAGCCATGTTTTTACTGAACTGGTGTCATAACTGATTGTCCAAAGAGCGAGAAAAAGTAAACAAAGGGCACAGAGTGTGACAAACTAGATTAAAAAAAATCTTTCAGTAATCTACAGTTTTACTAGTAGCATATAGTAGAAAAAGAAATGTTTGTTTGCAATATTTATTTTCTAAACTGACACTGTTCTTTTCAGAAAAAGTCATTAAAGCAGCAGCAGCTAGCAAGCATTTGGGTGCTGATCAGAGCAGGAAAATCTTTCACCTGAAATGTTTCACCACCAAAAAATGAAGTTGTGAATAATTTTGGGTTGTCCAAAAAGTTGTTGAATTTGGTGATTAGTTTCAGCCCCCTATATAACCGCACTCCCCAATATTTTTAAGGCTAGATCGACATGGGGATTTATGTTGTTCACAAGATTGGAGGTGGTACCCCATTCTACCCGCTACTCAAGCCCAGAGCACTTACTCAGGATAGAGGAGACTTGGGTTCAAGACCCTCTTCTGTCTGAGATGGAGCAGGGATCATTGTGCTTTCGGGTATCCTGGTGTGGGTCTCTATCAATGTTTTCTGTTGAAGCCGCACCACGTTGTGTAAATACTTATGCATTGGGCCAGAGAGTGACTCTATAGTTTGGTAGATAGATCACTCACCTCAGAATGGGGAACAGCTGGGTTCATGTCCGTGCCTTAATGACTATACGAGGCAGGAAAAGTTCATCAGGAGTGATTGAGATCCACTCACTTGCAAAGGTATTCACCTATTTGTGGGAGATTCAAATCCATGCTCTGCATCAGCAGAAAGGGGACTTGAATATATGTCTCCTACATCCTAGGAGAGTGTGCTAATCATTTGGTTGTTGGGTAAAAATAGTCAAGGCTATCCCCACCTCTTTTTGCACTTAGGATGCATCTACACTGCACCCGTAGGTCGAAATAAGATACACAATTTACATAGCTCAAGTTGTGTATCTTATTTTGATCTAATTTTGAAATAGGTTTTCAAATTTCAAAATAAAGCACTATCCCAACAAATCCCTTAACCCTTGTGGAGTGAGGGTTACAGAGATGCCGGAATAGTGCTCCCCTTACTTCGAAATTTATTTCAAAATAATGTGTGTATTTAAAGATGCAACATAGCTATTTTGAGATACTTCCAGTATCCCGAAATAGTGCTGCTGTCTAGATGTAGCCTTAGTGAATGCCTGAAATTGAATGTTATGTTTTGATCAACCTGAAATAAATTGTTTTCAGTGTTTTGTTTTCTGTTTTTCTCTGGAAAAACTGAACAATTTGACCCAAAATGTAATCTAAATCAATTTTTTTTCATGTTGGCCATTGAAACAAAAAATGATTATTTTTGCAGATCTAGGTCTGATACTCCATTCTTATGTATGTAACTCTACATACCTGAGCAGTCCTGTTAAAATCAAGGAGTCCACATGTGCATAAAATTAAGCCTGGGTCAGGTTCAATTCCTGTTGAAGTCAGTGAGAAGACTGAAATTTGTTTCAATGGATATTGGACAGGGCCCTATATATAAGTGGTTGTGCAGGATTTGGCCTCATTGTGGACCCCAAAAGTATGCGCGCACGTGTGTGCGCACACACACACACACACCAGAGAGCTGAAATGCACCTACCTAGGTTCCTTGGCATAGTGTGCTCTTGGCTGAAGAGCACCCTGATATGTTGGCTATGGTGTCATTGGCTTCACATGCAAAACAAATGTACACAAAAATAAAATGTAACACCCTATTTCAGCAAATAGAGGTTTTTAAAAATATATATCCGTTGCTTGAATCCTTCAGGTGTGGAGTGTACTATGAAAACTTTAAGACAGGCCTCTTTTTGCTTTAACAATCTTGATCATGCCTTTTAAACTCTGGATGAATGGATGGACTCTCGTTCTCTCTCAATTCTTCTTGAGATCAAGACTGAGGAAAGAGATGCTGTGTTAATAAGATAGCACGATTTATTTATTACATCTCCTAGTTCTTCATTGAATAGCTCTTTGAAAGGTGGTGGAACAGAGTTGAGAAACGCTGAACTGCTCTCAGTCCTAAATGACAGCTGGATATGGACAAGAGAAACTATATCACAAAAAGAGAGGTCCTGTCTAAATAGGCATTTCTATTTAAAATCTCAACTACACATGAGGAGAAAATAAAGTAAAATTCAGTCTAAATAAAAGAAAAAATGTTTAAGAAATCTGTGTTTACTCTGGCACGCGACTGGCCTACACTGCTTTTGACATATTAGGAAGAATCTTGGCTGGGACCTCCTAAAAGCACTTAAAAAGGCATATGTTTCTTTTCAGAATATAAGGGAGTTGGAATGTTTTCTTTAAACAGAATTCTTATAAATCTTTTTTTATTTGTGTGTGCACATTTCAGAATAACTTCCTTAACTCCATTTCTCAGACCATTTGAAATAATTATTTTACTGACTATTTTTGCCAATTGTGTGGCCTTAGCTATCTATATCCCCTTTCCAGAAGATGATTCCAATGCCACCAATTCCAATCTGGTAAGTCCTCGTCAGTGTACAGTTTTTTCTCTTTTGTAGGCCTCGTTTAAAACTGACTGGACAGTCCAACAGGAGCTAAGGAGAAAACAATGCATGTATCGATTCCATGAAACTTAAATGTGGATTTCAGTTTTGAATGCTGTATTGCTCTGTGTTCATATTAGTGCCTGTTTCATCAACTCCGGTTAGGAAAGAATATTTCAAAAAATAGTGAGACTCCTGCGTGTAATATTTTGGTCAGCAAATCAGAGTGTGCTGTAAAAATGTTGGGTAAATTTAAACTGCAGGTGTTAGCAATTTATAGCTACAGTTATTTTGTGCAATGTCTTTGTTTCATCAAGTGCATTTGTGTAATTGATAAGATCCTTTTCTCAGGTGATGTACAGCAGTGCAGCTCGGTGGCTAATTTCTAGTGATCTCGTTAATGTTTGCATTGCACGTTGGGACTTATTTGTGCTTGCTTGACTTTTTTCCTCTTGTTTGGTGTGATTGTTATTCCTCTGTTTCCATTGATGCAAAAGCCAGTATTTTGGGATAGGTTGCCCATGGAAAAAGGAATGTTTACTTTTGGCTTTGTGTGAAGTCCTAGCAAAGAACTCTGTTCAGGCAGAGCATAGCACAAAACAGAAATCTTGAATGCAACCCACAGAATTAGAATAAAATGTAGCCTGAAAACATTATGTGAACAAATCCAACCATTTGATAGGGACAGAATGAAGTTTTACTCTGGGAGTATAAGACTTCAGATATTTTTCTCCTACCCCATCTGAAACTCAGTGACATGAGACTTTTTGGAAGGATAGGGTAGGGAAAAATAAGAGCAATTTCTCCTACACACAGATAACTGGCATGTAGGACTTATTAAAAATGTCACATTATTCTCTGGGGCACTGGTCATGTTGATGAAGTATTCTCTTGAAGTTATCCAAAACAAATGGTGGCAGTAAAAGCAAAAGAACTTCAGATATTTCCTGGAACATAGATCCTGGGTAAAACTTTAAACTTACTTCCTTGCTTTGAGAGAAAAGGAGGGTGAGGAATACCAAGAAAACATATTATCTCACCCATCTTGTATCTCTAACTGATGCTAGGCCATTGGGGATCCTAAACAAAAATACTTTTGCTCACCTCCAGTACTAAAACAGGCAAGTTCTTGCAATAAAAAGTGAACAGTTGAGCTGTTTGGGGCCCTAAACAATTGCTTACTTTGTGCATGTTTGGCACTGGCACTGCAAACAACCTTCTTGCTTTGAAATGTCTTAAAATTAAAAATGGGAATGTGTGCCTGTTCATAGGTTTTCAGCCATTTTTCACTTGTCTTCAAACCCATATTGGGTTTTCAATGGAGATATTTGTAAGTTAGTCTCATTGCCTATTGCTACTGTCCCGCTGTCTGATTGAACAGTTGGAAATCAGAGTGCTGGATGATGATGACCGGCTGTGTGGGCGTGTGGACAATTTACTTTAATGATAAAATGTCCTTTTTCAGCAATGGACATCTTGTAATAAAAGTCAAACAATAATTTTTGTATCTTGTGCAAACAGTAATCTGCCTTAATAGCCATTATAATAAACAGAATACTGTCTCCTTGTCTACTGTACATTTTGATTTATAACATTAAAAGATACAAATGAAGCAGATACAAAACTTGGAGGATTTCAAGTTGACCCTATTCCAGAGCTAAGCTAAATTAGGCTGAGGATTCTTGTCTTATTTCAGCATCAAGAAATGATTGGCTAATAGCAACTGGGTAGCATTTCCGACAAACTTTGGTAACAGGATCAGGTACCTGTTTGGCATAATGATTAAAATGAAGTTGAGCAGCTGTCCTGGAGAGATCTGTTGCACATGGATGGTTCTTGTGTTTAATATCTCACACCCTTCCATGACATCCTATCAAATAACCTCTCTTTATTTATGGGTGATGTAATACATGTTGCACCTCCCAAAACTGGCAGTCTCTGGTCTGGCATGACCACAGATGTTTCTGGTTCAGGAGCCCGGTAGCCTGGTGGCAGGAGGGCTATCCAAAAGCAGGGCTGGGATGAAGCAGCAAAACAGGGCAGGGGTTGGGACTGGCGGCAACTCTGAGCAGCCCGCAGCAGTGGGGTTAGAGCCAGCCCCAGCCCCGACTGCCTGCAGCCCCGAGATAAGATCTGGGCCAGAACCTGCAGTGAAGGGCCAGGCAGGCAACAGCCTGTGGTAGTGTGGGGCTAGAGCCAGAGCTCTGGGCAACCAGCAGGAGCAGGGCCAGAACCTGTGGGCTGCCACAGGGCAAGAGTTCAGCCCACAGCCCTGGGGCTGGCGCTGGGGTTGGCGGCAGCCCCAACAGTCTGTGGCAGCTCAGAGGTGGAGCCTGAGCCGTCAACAGCCCCCAGGAGCCTTTGTCAGCAGGACCAGCACCAGAGCCAACCCCACCAGCCCAAGGCAGCAGGGCCAGAGCCAACAGCAGCTTCTGGGAGCCTGCGATGGTGGATCCGGGGTCAGATGCACAGCACGGGGCTGGAGCTGCTGCCCATGGCCAGCTTCCAGCCAGGGCAGCAGCAGCAGCAGAGCCAGCTGGCAGTAGTGAGGGGGCCCACGGAGCTGGCAGTGCTGAGGGTTGAGGGCTGAGAGGCCGTGGCAGGGAATCTTCCCTGGTCCAGCAAATTCCCTGATTCAGGACTGGTCAAATGTCCAGAGTGCTGGACCAGGAAGGTCCAACCTATAGAATGCACAAGAATTCCTAGGCATAGGCTCATGAAAGGTATGTATTTTACTAGGCACTAAGCAGAGAGAGTGCTATTATTTGGGGAGCTGGTCTAGAGCATTAGGGGAGAGGAGAAAATTAACTGTTCCGTATCCTATCGTTGTTTTGATCTTAATGGAATTACAGTTTAAAATGTCAGCAAAGGCTCGTGAGGTAGGTGGTGTCCAATGGCAGTGCAGTGAGGTTTCAGTCAGGGGCTTTACTCTGTCTTATTGTGTTGGGCTCTGGGGCACTGATTGCTCAGTAGCCTTTTGTCCTGCCCTGTGTAAAAGGGACAGTCGGTTAAAATCAGTAGAATGTCAGGACATAACCTGGTGGGCTCTTCCTAATGGAAGCCGCCTCTTTGCTGAATTAAGGTTTCAAGTTGTATTTGGGTCAGAGGCATTGGCCGACTGGGACGCTTGGGGGAGCAGGCAGTGACTGGAGGGAGGGGAAGGAGCAGTCAGGGTCACTTCTCCCTCCCTCCCTGGGAGGAGCCCTGGAAAAAGGGGAGCATGAAGAAAAATGCACCCCAACTGCACTGCCCCCACCCCCACCAGGCACTACAGCGGGGGAGTGGGGTCGAGGGCTTGCCCTGATCTGCCTGGCTTTCCCTCTGGAGCGGAGTTGGGGCAGTGGAGCTTTCCCAGCTCCAGTGGGAGGAGAGAGGAAAGGGTCGGGTCATGGGGGCTTGCCCCACTCTGCCTGATGCTCTTGCTGGGGAGCAGAGTCAGATTCCAGGGGCTTGTCCCATTCTGCCAGTCTGGTACAGCTACTGGGGAACAAGCAGGCTGTGGGGACTTGCCCTGTTCTGGTGCTCCAGCAGGAGAGTGCGTGTTGGGGCTCGCAAGATCCCAGGCTCCAATCATACTCCCCAGCAAGAGTGTCAGGTGGGAGGAGTGGAACAAGTTCTCAACCGGGTTTCGTAGCAGGAGTGATGGGTGGGCAGAACAGAGCGAGCCTCCATAACCTGATCCACTCGCCACCAGGAGCAGCAGGTGGGCAGAACAGGCCAAGTTCCCATGGCCTGATCGGCTCTCCACAGCTGGAACTGGACAAGCCCCCATACTCTGAACATGCTCCCCAGCAAGAATGCAAGAGTGGCGGAGCAGGGCAGGTGCAAGGCTGGGAAGAGGGTGGGTGGGCCTGGATAAAGTGGGTGGGCCATGGCACCCTCAGGCCCACCTGTGGCTATAGGTGATTTGGGTCAGTACAGCAGTTTCACCTGTTAGCACTTTTTCACTCTCAAAGTGATTTTTGAGGTTTTAATATTTGTTCACAGATTTTAATTTTTGTACCTAGGAATTAGGTTATGCAATTTGTAGGACATTTTTAAAAATTGCATTCCAAAATGCTTCCCAGAGTTGTGGAAAATAATTAGTTAACTATTAAGCAATACCGGAAGGAGGCAGAGCTAAAAGGGTTAGAGAAGGGTGATAAGCTTCAGCAGAGATTTGGAATACGATGGAGATGGGATATAGAGGTAGAAGAAAATAGTTCTAGAGGGCATCAACTTCAAAGCACAGGGCTCTGGCACTCAAATAGCCAAGTCGTGTGGAAGGGACCGAGGAGGAAGGGTTTTAAGTGGAGAGAAAAGGGTTATAAACCCAACACACTGCTGTTCTAAAACCAAGCGTATTTTCTGGGCTACTTTTGCTTGATGCAAACTCTCAGCTATCAGTTTGTTTATTCTCTAGACTAGGAGTTAAGAACCTCAAAGGATTATTTCTGCAATAGAAAGGGTGTGCCCCGTTTCACTGTGGGTATGTTAATATTGTGTACAAATGGTCATATACTGTGTTATCATATACTGTGTCTGAGAGGAAGCTAAGTGTGTCCAACTGCCCAAGGAAATTCTTTACTTGGATAAAAAGTCTTGCTTCACATTCACTTTGATTTAATTTGGGGCGGGAGGGGGGGAAGTGGCGTGTTACCATAGCAATTCTTCCATTCCTGATTTTATGAAACACTGAGAACCCTCTTCAAAAGACACATTACCCAGTATGTGATGTGAAACAATTATTTTTTTTACAAGATTCAAAGGAGAAAAACAACTGTTTTCCAATAAACTGACACGCTTTCCTCAGGCTGTGAATGCTCTCTTTCTAATATCTCATTGTCACTTTTGAAGCAGATTTTTCTCTTGGGACGGGGGTGAATTAAAACTTTTTTTTTTAAAGTAATGGCAAGGATGTTGTTGGGAGAGAAGGGAGTGGTGGACTGTGTGAGGAACTTCTTTTCTTTTTACATTGCTTTTCTTTTTGTGTGAAG